TCGAGTAAGTCTAGACTCGACCGCAGCTGTTTTTGCTCGATAAAAACCAAGAATTCGTTGCAAAAAACTCGAAATACTGGATCTAGTCTAAGCATCTCATGTAATTTCGGCCTTCGCTGAAGCTAAATTTCTCTTTTCAAGGTCATAAGGACAACACTCGCATGAACGTCTTGCATTGAGAATCTATAAATAATCTTGGTAATAAAAGTGCTATGTATAGTTTGAGTTTTGTGTATAAGTCTTGTAGTGAGGGCCAGAACTAATTCTTGGCCACTTATATAAGCTGCAGTTCATTGTCTGGCTCTCCAACTACGGGCGATTTTTTGATGCTTTGATCAATGTTGTTTCGCCAAATGGCGATCCTGATGTTCGTACTGCTTTCTGAAAAGATTTGTGTTATATGTCGATCAGTATGATCTTATTAAAACACCGAAAATGAATGGGTTTTGAAGAAAAAAAATATCTTTACTGTGATTTTTTGGTTGTAGGGGCCGGATTGTAATGTGCGGAAGCAGCTGCATGCTATTTGCTATACCTGGCTATGGTCCTTATGCTTCCTCAAAGGCTGCTCTCGGAGCATACACTGATGTTATCAGGTAGTTCATAACACTGACTTTATCAGGTAGTCTTTCACAGTCCTGCGAAGTCTGTATTGCTACCAGAAAAAGATAGAAAAAAAGGCTTAAATCAAGATGGAGCATTTTGGCGAAGATGTGATTGTTTTGTTGCACTGGATCACTTATGGCGAATCGTGAAGAGACAGTGTTTGCAGTGGTGCATTTTACCACAACAATTTTTTGCAAAACTTTTGACCGCCGATCACTTGGTTCGCAGTACTATTAGAACAGGACTGTGCTGACTTCGAAACCCTCCCATAATAATTTAGTGAAAGTTTTTTGGTTTTTACGTTGCGTAATAGCACCACAAAACGCACAGGTTGCCACACCCCTCCTATCTGTATGTGTATTTATGTGCCCGAGTGCATTTTGTCCCGCATTTTCATCTGATCAACTACAAAAGATGGGAAGCTGAAATTTTAGAGCAATATATGTCTCCTGCTAATGTGCGATTCGTCAAACTCAAACTTAGCTTTCACTTAACCTCTTTTCTCTTCACTGCACTGCACCATGATTATCTTTAAGGCATGAGTTAAATCCGTACGGTGTGCAGGTCATCATGATAATGCCAGGTTCGTTTGAAAGTGGTATGCAGGACACAGGCAGGTTACTGCGAATGATGGATAACGTCTGGAATCGATCGTCGCAGGAAATTCGCAACGAATATGGCAGTGATTATAATGATAAAGGTGATCACATACACATTTCGTTTTGATTATTTCTGCCATTCACAATTCATCTAAATTCCTCTCACCATTCCCCACTGGTGCTTCATATTATTACTAAGGCTTTACTACTGTTAATAACATTCTAACTTTTTTTAACCCACAAATTAAATATTTACATTTGTAATAAAAAGCGCCACGGGGCACTGATTGCTCCATGGATTAAAGATTCGAAAGCTATCGTCATAACAGTTAGTAACGATAGGATTTTCAGCGAAAGCGGTCGTCAAACAGCTGCAGTCAAAATTGATAGCGAAGGATATCACGTGGGTGATCGACGCATACTATGAAGCGATTGCAGCTAAACGGCCAAAATTGTTGTACAGAATTGGTTGGGATGCTGTGCTATTGTAAGTTTTCAAACAGAACTAAGAAGCCCAGATTCCAGATCAAAGCTGTATTCCACATATTTAGAACCTGCGCTCCAAAACTTACTCTTAACTGGCGACATCAGAAAGTGGACTTTAAAAAAACCGGTTTTTTTGCTGGCATCACTAAACACCGAAGAAATCCTACTCTCATTAGCTACTGAATCCGAGGATTTTTTTTGAAGAAAATACGGTTTTTGCCAGAACAAACATAGTTAAGTTATAGTGATTGCCTTCTTTTTCTCTTTGCATCATAAAGTGATGGACTTATGTCCAGAAATATGGGGGTTTTTTGTTTCCGTGAGAGACATATGCACCCAGAGTATCGCAAATGGTATAATGTACCAATGATAATCACTGCCGGCAAGGCTTTCAGTAGCTCTCTCTCTTGAGATTTGCTTACAAGCAAGCCGAACACGGTTTTGACTAGTACCAGTTTACCATCAAAACTAATAAGCAAATCACAGAACAGATTAATTATCCCCAATGATCGAACCGAGTTCTTAAGCCTGTGCGCGAAAGCAATGCTATGCGTCGTGTCCTGAGAATATGTGATAACATTCGGTGTAATTTAGTACAACTAGCAAAGCTTGCCAGAATTCCGATGAATTTCAGCTAAAGGTTTTTTCAAAATTTTTGCTCAAAAATCACATAACTTTTGTTAAAAAAATAAGTGAAATTTTGTTTCAGCTTCTACCCATATTCTTTTCTTTCGCTACGCTTGCAGCTGCTTGTTATGAGATTTCTTCTGTTTTTAAATGGAGCCCCACAACCGGCAATGAATATGAAATCACGGAATTCAGCGAATATCGAAGGTGAAGATGATGGATTATGATACACCATTTCTGATTATGATTCACTGTATTATGAACGTAAAATTCGTTGTTTTGCACTGAAATATTATAAAATAAAAGCACTTTTTTTGTCAGTGCTGTTTGCTCTTTATCGTTCTGCCGAGAAAATCAATGCTATGGAGGAAAGTGGATATGGGAATCCCGTGTTAGTAATGTTACTGAAACTCTTATAAGGTGAGCGCAGCTATGCTAGGCCCTTCGGTGCTAAACTATAGAATCTTCAGCGAATATCCAATGACCGTTCGATAAGTGTGCGTCTCCTCTTGGTGACCACTCGGTTGATCGTTTACTTTCTCAAGGGTGCTACTCAGAAATGCGGATGCACACCGGAGTTGACAAGGACCTGCGCACAGGATTTTACTTTTTTACAAATCGTCACAGTCATTCTCTGTGCAGTTTCTCAAAAGCTCGGTATATCGAAAAATGCCGACGGTGAAAAAGTCAAACCCTGTATATTTACCGTATTCGCCCACTGTGAGACTCGCAACAACTTATCGCTAAAATGCATAATGGAGCCTGTTTAACGAGTTTGGCAGAGGAGGGTTTTTGCCTGCTTGCTTGCTTCTTTTTTCCAGAGACAGCAAGTGCTGCCGACTGAAATATACGACTATTAAACCACAAATGTCGTCTCGCATCCGCACCCAAACTCGTTTTCTGCTCTCTAATCACTGTGTGCCGCAGCACTCTTCGTCTTACACGGATTGTCGCCAAATTTCCTATTAGCTTCAGACTCGCTTTTTTATTTTATAACTATATGCTTGTTTCTGCGCTTGTATAAACAAGTGGGATTATCGTATTTCCTGAAGCAAATGCTTTTTTTTAACTTTCATTTTACTTTAAAATGTCGTTTTTGTATGAGTGTTCTTTTGCACGTATATTGTAAGCATTATTAGTGAGTTGTACCAAAAAAAAAAAGACCATTCGGAAAGTTCCGAAGAAAGGGCGCATATACCGGAAGAAGTGGTGGGTGTTAGCTGAAAGTATGAGCCCAGGATCGGAGGGCCTGGATGGCTGCGCTCAGCTTGTGGAGCATCCCAATAACATCACTAGCCCGTGACACCTAGGCTGGTCGTCCGAGCGGTCTTAGCATTCTTTGTGTTGTTATTACTATTTTTTATTATTGTTACAGTTATAATGATAATTATTATTAAAATTTTGAACGACTGGGGTGATCGCCTAGTGCAATGACTTACTGCTGAAGGAACGGAAGTTTATTCATTTTCTGGCCGGAATCGGCACTGGTTCTTGATAGAAGTCATAGAAGCCTGTAAATAAAGCAATCAGGATTCTCCGAAATCTTTGAACACTTCAAAAAATAGGAAGGAATTTTCACACTGGCAGTAACGCCGTTGAAAAAGAAATTGAAAAAAAAGGCAACCAATCTTCTTTTGCTCTCAGCCGAGTAACTCAACCGTCTGACTGATATGAAAAATAGGACTGACCGAAGAGCAAAAAGCAAAGAGTTTAGTCCGCATGTGTAATACCTAAACATAGGGGCAAAAATTTAGCTAAATGAGGAAAAACTTAAATTGGAAGATGGAAAATTTGCTTTAAAAAATCGAAAAAGCGTTAAATTGTCTTTGAAATCGCTAAAATTCGGGGAAAGTCATATTTGTTCCTTGTTTTCTAGTTCCTGGAATTTTTTTTTTGGTAATGGAAACAATCAGCACAATCACTCTCTGTATGGTTTACATTTGTTATGGTGGTAAATTGGTATCGGCATATGATAAGGAGTTAAAGTCATCATTACCTGCTTGTAAGCCACTTTTGAAAGATGGAACCTTCGAGAGAGCCTTGGCAGTCAATGACTGCTGTTGGCATTTGTTACCACTCATGCTACTTCCGAGTGCCTTCGCTTATCATACAGAACGAATGTGGATGGGTTTTCAAATACTATCAGAATGCGAATCCAGAACGGTCTCCTGGGAGTTGAGAGGAGGGATCCATTGCCCCAGCCCTCCCCTGGATCCGCCAATGTTTCCGCTAGGATGCTTATTTTTCCTGGTAGACATAGTGAAGTGGTAAGTAGTCTATTCTCATATCGCTGGTTGAGGTTTCGATTTAGCCACTGGGAGAGCTAACTGCCCCTTTCATTCGTTTTGATGGTGAAATGGTATTGACGGGGAATGACCAGAGGCTCACTTCTAGGTAGTCCTTGTAAAAAGGAGTCATCAACAGCTTCGCCAAGAGGTGGTTGCTGTTAGCAGGGGTTACCGCTCGGACCAAACCTGAATGCCTTCGCCTCTCCTAAAGAGTAAATATAGCAGAGTTTTTACTTTTTATTTCTTTTCGGAAGTAATGTGACATATATTTTCCCGCCATTTCCCCGCTGGCATAATGTAAGGGGTCAGAGATGCTCCCTTCGAATGTAAATGGAATTATTCTAAATATCCAGCAATCCGTTTTTGAATATTGGTGATTGATGGGGCTGTTGATGCTAGAACTGGTCGGACATTCGTATGGCCCTCAGATGTTCCGAGAAGCAACGTCGATCCTTTGTGACGACGCCAAACTTTCTTGTTTGTGATACCCCGGCTTTGTCCGAGCCTTGTTTGTTACCCCTACGGGTCAGCATGTGCGATCGGGGAGGTGTGGTTTTCGTTTTGTTATATAAGCGAGCCTTAACTCAGAATTAACACAGTTGAACACCAGTTCCAGCCGAAGAAAACACCGAATCAGACACGCGTCACGGTTTCCCCCTCGGCTCCACACAGACATCCTCACGCGCTTCACACCACACACAGCACGGACTCCCTAGGCCCATATTCAGGCAAGTCTGGCCACTTAGCGCCACGTCACTATAAGTAATTTAGGGCATTGCGTGCAACCTATACTTAGTGTTTTCCCTATTTTAACCAAAAAAATAATTAGCCAGTACAACAACGTTTTTTGGTACCTTCAGAGATATTTTAGGACACGGTAATTTCATGCTGCTCATAATATTATGTTTTTTAATAATTACTGCACTGGTGATGATACGTAAGTTTGTTATCGATCAGGCGACAGTGGACATGAACAAGAAAGCCATACTGGTCACTGGTAGTAGCGCCGGTCAGTTCCATTCACTTTTTCAAGCGCCCCATCGGTGTGGCATAACTTGAGGATTAGGGTTATTTACGTAAGTCGTAATCTGAGATTCTGTTACTCATTTTAGGCAGCAACCAAAATTTGATAACTTCACTTCTTCGGACTTTCGAATGTTTTTC